ATCACTGAGCATCACAGAGACATAGATTCACTGCCACAGTTTTATAGGTCATAAGAAGGATGCTCGACAATATAACTGTCCATGTATAAATATGTCTTTGAATTATTAAAAGTGTAATCCATCCCATTGACCTATATGGCAGTGAAGTGTGGGGTCCACTTACAGTCTGAGATTACACTAAATGGGACAAACACACCACAGAAGCCCTGCGCACAGAGAGAAACACCTAACACTGTACGCAGGGCGGAATTAGGCCAATTACGTTGTAGCACAGCTAAAACAACATGAATCAAAATCAACCAAATCACAGCCACAGTCTGGACATAGAAACTGGACACAGACAGATCAGGCTGACCAGACAGAACAGGACAGGTGACCACAGCCTGGACAAAGAAATTGAGTCATCTGTGACAAAATGGGTCATAAAGCCTCAAGCTGGTAGGACTCACACCCACATCACTCATTAGCAGACTGACATGCCACAGCCTTCCCATCTTTCACATCCTCCCCGGAGAGGACTTTCTTGCCCTCTCTCTGGCCCTGAGTTAATCACAGTGCTGCCGAAGCAACAGTCAAAGAGCTTTATTAATGTGACTGATGAATTAGAGTATTGCAAATACAGCGTAACAATTAGCAACACAATTGCGCACGTTTAGATCGGTACTATTACTTGAGAGACAGTCCCTGTTCCTCAGCCCGTGACAGATCACCTCAGGGCTGCAGCTCCACTGGCGTCCTCCCCCTGCAGGACTGGAATCTGTCCTGATGCTGGCAGGGGTGGGAATTCTGGGATTAGAGTCGCTGTTTCACCTTGAGGTCAGTGCCTGGTCTGCTGGGGCTTCTGCTGCAGTACTCAGCCCCGGGACTTGCTGTGGGTTTTTATGCTTCTATAGGCTTTGGGTGAATCCGGACCCTGCTCCCGAAATGTTTTGCCACTGTTTTCTCCAAGATCCCCCCAAAAGCCCCGTGCGGGGTCTCTGTTGGAAGCCCCTGTGGTTCTGAGGCCAGCACCCACCAGTGCAGGGAGACGCCGCGCCTGGGTGTGGTGAGACAGTATGATGTGGTGAGACAGTACAACCACCCTTTTAAGAACTTTTGTAATATTGTAGAGATTGCGTGACTTGGTAGAGTGTGTACTCATTGTAAGATGTCTATTGTGAAATAAAGTTGATTTTGTCAGAAAGAAATGATGCAGTGGCCTGTGATCACCACTAGGGGAGAGCTGTTCATGTCTAGTGAGAAAAGACTGCAGCATTGTCCTGGGGGGAGAATGACCAAGTACTTAACTCATAAGAACAGAGAATAGTTACAAACAGTAGGGGGCCATTTAAGCTGTACAGGCCACTTGTTAGTTAGTACTTAATTGATACAATGGTCTCATCCAGCCATTCATTGAATAAAGCCATAGTATCAGCCTCAACAACTTGGCTAGGCGACTTGTTCCATACTCCCTCAGCCCTTTGTGTAAAGTGCCTCCTGTTCTCCTGTTTAAATGTCCTTCCATATCACCCCTCCTCGTACCCTCAGGTTATGCTGCACTGTTGATTCTGAAGACGTCCGCTGGGTTGAGTTTGTGGAAATTTGCATACTTGACTCAGGTCCCTTCCTAGCATCCTCAGTTCAAGACTAAAGCGATTCCTGTCTTCTCACCCGTGAGTGCAAGACTTCCCTGGTTCCCCATCTCTAGAGAAGTCTCACGGACAGATGCCGGCACGCTGCGTGAGATCTTCAGTGCTACAGACGGGGGTGCTGTCTCACAGTCAGCGGCTGACAGTTGTGTCTCGTAGCTACCGAGCAGTATCCAGCAAAATTGATTTGACTTTGGACTCTCCCCTTTGCCCCCCTGTGCTCACTCTGTTTCCTGTCTGACATCAGCCTCAGCAGGGACGAGTGAGCAGAGAGCAGTCAGCAGGGGGAGCTGGCCCCACACCCCCCACTTCCTGCTGGTAAACAGGAAGTGGATGACGGCAGCCCAGTCAGGTATCTACAAGGGCTTTTTCTTTTAACTGAAAACATGGATTTTTTTAGGATCAACTGAGGTTTTCCACAAAGTCCTTCCGCATTTATCTGAGCCACTCCCTCCCTCCGCTGCCCCCGCCCTGCCAGTTGACCCCAGATTTAAGGAAAGATCTTGGTTTCACCCACTGTTCCACTCCCCTGTGGCTCTAAAGCCTGCCTGCTGCGCACGCTCCTGTGCACATAGAGTACCTCTGTCTGGGGCATGAGCGGTCCAGCCAGATCCTACTCCTGTGTTTGTGTCTCCTCCGTTTTGTGCTTGGCATTGTGCTGCCTGAGAGCTGTCGACATGCTCTCACTCAGTAAATGAGGACCTGTGGCTGGAGCCCTGAGCTGAGGTGGGGCGCTGTGTGAGCTGAGGCAGAAGGGTGTAGCCCCAGTCAATTGGACTGAGGGGATGGCTGCCCTGTGGGGCCCCTCCAGGCTCTATATATAGAGAAACCTGATCAGCTGGCAGAGGGCTGAGGAGGGCACAGTGCCAGTGGGTGGCAGTCTCTGGTTCAGGGGAAGGCCCGGCAGCCCCTGCAGCTTCAGACAGGAAGCTGAGGGGCAGTCAGTGCCCTAGCTGACCCAATCTCATGTTACGTTAAACCCCTGAAGTTTCTGGCTAATACTATTCTCAACCCATGAGCCAGGTGCCCATGTCTGTTCTGCATGAGCTCTTGCTGATGTCATTTCCTGTGCATACCTCATCATCTCTCTAGACCAGTTGTGGTGTCAGAAGCGTTAGGCCATACTGTCACAACATGTTTCCTCATTCTCTGAAACTCCTTTTAAACCTAACTACACCCTTTCCCTATTAGCAGCTACAGTATATCACCCTGCAACTCACAACTGGCAGCCCACTGAAGCTCAGCAGTGTGAGCCTGGTCAGTACCTGGATCGGAGACTCCTGGGAAAACTAAGGGTGCTGCTTGAAAAGGTGTTAGTGGGGCCAGCAGGGGGCACTCACCCTTTGGTCTTTGTGGGTCCTAATGCACCAGTATAGTGACACGGACACCATACTGTAAAACGTTGCCAAGGTCTTGACTCTCTGTGGTCATTAAAAATCCCAGGGTATTTCTTGAAAAGAATACGGGTGTTACCCCGGTGTCCTGGACAGAATTCTCCCTGGCCTTTACCAGTCATGGCCTCCTAATAATTCCCATCTCTGAACTGGCGTCATCCCCACTGAGAGCTGGTGTGTGGTGAGTGGACTGGAGCAAAATTCAGGTGGGGGCTGCACATTAATGTTGGTGGAGGAGAATCCCCACACACCACACTGCCTGCTCATGCTGTCCTGCTTGCTCTCACCATGGAAGCCCGACTCATTGCTTGCCCCTTTGCACCTTTATACAAAGGGTGGCAGGGGTCTGGAACACAGCACTTTGTCATGTGCTCGAAGGATCTTTCTAGGAACAGGGGAGCGCTGAGACAATCCCTCCTTTAGACACTGCATCTCCTCCCATGGAGCGTGTATAGTGTACTGGTGGAAATTTCACTGGAGCAGGAACAAATGAATTTCCTCAGTCTTGCCCTGATCCAGTACGCTCAGTCCCATGGGGAACTCCACCACTATTGCTGGAGAGAGGCCTGGCGGCAGAGACCAACCACACTGGCCTTTGAAGATCTTCTGCAGAACGCTTGGCCACTCACCGCAAAATACTGGAAGGGCTGTCTCCACACGCAGACAGGGACAGCGGTTAATTAGTTACACATGGCTGAAATCACCCCCCGGCTTCCAAAGGGCTGCCGGAGCCCCTCTGTCTCCCCACAATCGGTGGGGGGAGGTTTGGGGGGACAGCGGTGAGCGCGAGGGAGCCTTCACTTCTTCCAGTACGTGAATTCGGCCTTAACCCCGTGTGCCCCAGGCAGTGCTTCTCCTCCACCACCAGACCAAGCCCACATTGGCGGTCAGGGTCACGGCCAATAGAGCCGCAGTGCAGGGTCACGTGATTAAGGAGCAGCTGCCACAAAGACCAGAAATGGAGTGGAGTGGAAGGGACCCGAGACTGACGCATCTACCGGACCATGAATGCGGGTCATCATTTCCTGTTGTGAGGGAATGCTGGCACACTCTGGACGTGTGCATTCTGCAGAATGATTTATGTTACTTTTTAAACTAGTGCCTTTTGTATTCTCATTCATTCCCTGACTTTTAATTTGACTCTACTTCAGGGCTACACAATCCAGACATGGTTTTCCTTCCTAATGAGCCCTAAAAATTACTTAATTGAACTTGTTATGATATAATGAAGTAATAATTTGACAGGTTGAGGCCATTCCTTGTTCTCATGAAGCTGGAGATGTTAAAAGACACCTCTTCATAGCTGGATAGCAGCCTGTGAGGACTAGAGTCGGGCTCCTTTGCTCAATTTTGATTGTTGCTTTTTTAATGATCTGCTTTTATTTGACCTCAAATG